GTGCAGGGGGCGCAGAGGCCCTCCCCCGATCGCGTCCCCACGCGGGAGCGCATCACCGGGAACCTGGTCCCGGCAGCCCCGCCGCCCGGGCTGTGGCACCTGGCGCGTCCTCGGGCCACTTAGGAGGAAACTGAGAGCCTTGGAGCGGAGACCTGTTAACTCCGCAAATGCGGCTTCTGACCCGCGTCCATGCGGACCTGCACTGCATGGAGGGACTTCTGCAGAAGCGAAGTCCTTTCTCAGAGGCTCTGGGATTGGCGCCCGGGCGGCTAGAGGAACAGACCCTCGCGCATCCTGGGTGTGGGGAGGCCGAGCCCCGAGGCGCCCCTGGGGTCCGCGCTTGGGTGGATCTTCCGCATAGACGCTGGACGCCTACGGAGAACTCCGACGCGGGGCTAGGGGGCATTGGCTGAGATCCCGAGTCCCCTGGGCGGACCTCATCCTAAGGGGACCCGAGGGACCGCCAGCTCTCGGCTCTGGCGGGTTGTTCGCTGTGCAGCCTCGGCCGCAGCCAGACTCGCGGCCGGGCGGGGCGCTTCACCTGGAGTGATGCCAGTGTGCGGCGGGCCGAGAGGGCTCCGCTCGGGCTCCGAACTCGGAGAGAAACGGGTGGAAATACACATCACAGGGGCTCCTACTGGGCCGTCAGGACGAGGTTCCCTCCTGGGAGGGCTTGGTCAGGGTTTCCGGAATAGTGGAAAGCTGCCAACCCCTTGCGGTCCCTGTTGGAGGACAGTCTGTCACCCGAAAAGGTGACTTCCTCTGGTTCCAACTCCCACTCTTCCCATTTCTGTATCACAGCATGCGAGTCTTGGTGTCTGTGTGTGAACTGCAGACGCTCCTCACCAGGGAGAAGGTCTTAGGAACGGGGTGAATTTGGAAAAAGCATCTTAGCTGACCCCCCACCCCCCTTTATAATCTAAAGGACTCCAGGAGGAGGAGGTTACATAATCTGCCCAGTCAGTACTGGAGAGACAGGCGCTGTCCCAAAGCTTTCATGGTGTTTAACGCCAGTTGGTAACAATTAGGTATTTTAGGAAAGGGTGGTTTCCACACAGCATTGTGTGTAGGGAGAGGGAACATGTTAGTATTCCTAAGCCTTCCTCCTGGAGCCTGCATGAAGCCATGTGAGGACAGCCAGGCTTTCCTGCCACCTGGGGGCCGTGGTTGGGCTGGGCAGCTTCCCAGTAAGAACTTGGCATGTTTCAAGAACTCAACGTTTCCTTAAAAACAAGATTGAGAAGAATGTCTCTAGAAATCTGCCCAGCAGAGGTGTTTCTGAGCAGAGCTAGGACTAGAAATGAAGTGCTTGGAAATGAAGGTCTGTTAGAAGAACAGCATGTTGGGGACCTGCAAGTGGCAAGGTGGTTAAGGCGCTGGACACCCCCACATGACCAACAACGGTTTGAGTCCCAGACCTGGCCACTTGCTTTCTCACCTTCTCTCTCTGTCCCTCTCTGGTCAAATTTAAATAAATAAATTTAAATAAAGTAATTCTTAAAAAAAAAAAAAAAGAAAAAAAAACAGCATGTTCTCCACACAGCATTGTGTGTAGGGAGAGGGAACATGTTAGTATTCCTAAGCCTTCCTCCTGGAGCCTGCATGAAGCCATGTGAGGACAGCCAGGCTTTCCTGCCACCTGGGGGCCGTGGTTGGGCTGGGCAGCTTCCCAGTAAGAACTTGGCATGTTTCAAGAACTCAACGTTTCCTTAAAAACAAGATTGAGAAGAATGTCTCTAGAAATCTGCCCAGCAGAGGTGTTTCTGAGCAGAGCTAGGACTAGAAATGAAGTGCTTGGAAATGAAGGTCTGTTAGAAGAACAGCATGTTGGGGACCTGCAAGTGGCAAGGTGGTTAAGGCGCTGGACACCCCCACATGACCAACAACGGTTTGAGTCCCAGACCTGGCCACTTGCTTTCTCACCTTCTCTCTCTGTCCCTCTCTGGTCAAATTTAAATAAATAAATTTAAATAAAGTAATTCTTAAAAAAAAAAAAAAGAAAGAAAAACAGCATGTTCACCCCAGCACTATTGACATGAGACAGGAAGAGAGGTTATTTTGTCTGTAATGCTTGGCGTGGTGATCAGTGGGGCTTTGTGTTCACCCAAACTGGTTTCAATTCTGTGCTTTCATTGAAAAAGTTTCTGGCCATTGGCACTTAGATCTAAGTCTCGCGAGGCTTCCTGTATTAATTTGCAAAATGGAGAGCCCGTTATACCTAGGTCCTGAGGTGGCCATTACGCGGGAACTGCTGAATTCAGTGCACACACAGCTTAGCACTTGAGGAATGTACGCCCTTTTACCCGGGCTGTGAGTGGTGTGCCTCACTGTGTGTGTAGAAGTATCCGCAGAAGGGGCCCTGAGTGTGTGTGCGTACACGTGTGTGTGTGTGCACACGTGGGCATTCGTGCATTCACAAGCAACCCATGAGGGACCAGGAACCCCAGACTGAGGCATCTGAGTAGCCCGAGTGGAGGCCTTGTCTCTGATAGCTTTCAGGTGTCTTGTTTTTCTGGTTTTTTGTTTTATTTTAAACATTTTTTTTTTCCAATTCTTACCAGAATTAGACAAAAAAAGCCATGTGGAGCTGAAGATGGATCAGGCTCTGCTGCTTATCCAGAATGAGCTGCTCGGGAGGAACGTGACGGTTCTCTGGCAGTCTGAGCGCTGCTACCGCGTAGGTATTATGCTGGTGCTCACGATGTAGTTTGCGTGGGGCTTGTTTGTTAGGATCCTTAGGCCTTCCTGTCTAAGCCCATCATTTGGTAACTTCAGCTTTACAGGTAAGGAAACAGGCTATTTAAAGAATCAGAAGTTGGGACCAGCAGATAGAATAATGGTTACATCGCTGGACTCTCACCTAGTTGACCGTGGTTCGAGTCCTGGACCCAGCGGCTTTAAACTCACTCTGGGAGGGTGTGCATGCGTGTCGAAGATCCTAAGAGGAGAATGGAGGAGAAGGGATTGTGATGTGGCCATTCCCTTGGGGGGTGATTTCTCACTTTCTGTCTCTCTGTCTCTCTCTGTTCTCTATGGCCAGCGCACGCACCCTATAGCAAAAGTCTTAAGAAAAAAAAAAAGAATCAGAAGTATAGGGATCAGCTGGTGTGCGGTGGCCTGGTCAGAGAGTGACAGAGACAAAGAGAAGGAAAATGAGACATCACTCCCTGGAGGGCTGGCCGTAATGCAAACCCTTCTTCTCCATTCTCCTCTTGGGATTTTGGGCACACACGCATACATGCCCAAGCTGCTGGGTCTGGGATTTGAACCACAGAGTTGGCCATGTGGGATCCAGTTCCTTATGACCATGCCAATAGGCTGGCCTAAGTGTAAAAACACATAGACCCATAAAGACTGAAAAATTGTGTGAACCATATTGCATAGCTTGAGAGACAACTTCAGGACAACCCCAAACACTTATGTTAGCAAGTTCTTTTGAAAAGAGAATAAGAATTGGAGAAAGGTTATTATTGTATTGTTAACCATGAATAATTATTACAGTTGACTGAGTTAACATAAGATGTAAGTGAGCAAAGAAAAAGAAAGATGCTTTTCAGAATACAAAGCAGTTTTCTTGGGTATCTGGAGGTAGAATTAAGAGTGGAGAAGCAGGGCATGGAAGAGGGGCATAGAAACATGTGCCTTGGGACCAGCAGTTAGTGTAATGGCTATGTCGCTGGACTCCCATGTAGTTGACCGAGGTTCGACTCCTGGACTCGGTGGCTTAAAACTCACGCTGGGCACGTGTGTGTGCGTGCCCAAGATCCCAAGAGGAGACTGGAGGAGAAGGGATTGTGGTGTGGCCATCCTCCCTGGGGGGAGATTTCTCGCTTGCTGTCTCTGTCTCTCTGTCTGGCGAGCGCACACGCCCTATAGCCAAAAAAAAAAAAAAAGTGCCTTTGACGGAGTCTAACACGGTTATCTCATTTTTGACTGCTGCTTATTTCAAACATAAATGAGAAAAAATGAAGACATTTAGTATTTATGGAAGGAGACACATCTAGATGTGATACATATAGTTAATATTATTGTATCCCTCTTTTAAAGTTTATTTTTTTCTTTCATGTATGTGAGAGAGAGAGAGATACTCTTGTCGGGGCCTCACCACATGTGACCCTCCACCAGCATCCCAGCCAGCCAGGAGCAGGCATGGTATGCCCACCCATGTGTTCAGATTGACCTGGGATTTGAACCCAGGCCTCTCATATAGCTCCAGTATGCAGCAGCACCCTACTATCTGCACCACCACTGCTGGGCCTGTATCTTGCAAATATTACGAAAAGGCAGAGTAATATACAGTATGGAAAATACACAGATGATAAAAGAAGAGAATGAAAATAGGACAAAATTCAGGGTGGGTTAGTCTACACTAATTGTAACCAATACGAATGGACTAACCTTTATAAAAATAAGACTATTAAAATATTGTGGAGGAGTTAAAATTACTTTTGGAAAGAGGACAGTTACATGCACATACATTGATAGTGAAAGTATTAAAAACTAAAATATGAATGTTGTACTTAAAAAGAAAACATCAAAAAGAAAAAGACATAGGTAATTATACTCTATAAAAAATATTTTGTTTATTTCATATGAGAAGGAGAATGAGGTGTGTGGGGGATCGGAGCCCTGAACTACCTGGTCATACTCTGCTCCGTCCCCCCGCCTCCTAGCCAGCCAGGGTCATGGGCATCTAAATATTATAATTTAAGTAATGTGACTAAGATGTTGGGGAAAGGGAAAATTACTGCGTATCTCTCATGAAATACTCTAAGGGAAGTCGAGGTAAGGAATAAAAGCCACAGACCAAAACAGTTCAATAAAAGGCAGAAAACAATTGTACGTTAATGAAGCAGTAAAAGTAAACCAGAGTAGTATGACTATATAAAAATGTAAAAGTGACAAAATACAGCAGTCTGAGTAGGAAAGCATTAGAATGGAGAAACATTTAGGATCGATGTTTAATACACTTTCTGAGAACACTTCTATAAGTTCATGGAAATCAAAGTGTAGAGTTTATTTGGTGCAAAAATTCTTAAAATCCATGTGTAAGATTTCATAATGTGTATTTTACATTTGAAGACTCTTTGTATGAAGGCATATTTCTAAGGTTATATATTCAGGAGAATTTGGTGACTGACTATTAGTTCAAAATTATGTTCAAATAGTGTCTTCACGCCGTGACCCAGCCCCAGCCCCAGCCCTGGACCGTGGGCGAGAGCGGGCCTGGCATATTTGAGGAGGTCTGTGAGTGGGTTTGCTTTCTTTCCATGCTGCTCCACCAGCCAGCCCCTAAATTACTGAAATTTAAAAGTTTTCATAGATAATATGGAAAAGTGGTGTCAGGATCTTTAGTTGAAGTTTTATGTCTGCAACAACCAAAAGACTCTCCTATTCTCTAGCAGGTTACCTGTTGTGCTTTTGTTTTCCAGTGCTCACTTCAAGTCTTGGCAAATGTTTCTGGGAGTGGAAAACCTGGGAAGCCCCGAATAACTGCAGTCGCCGTCAACACCCAACACGGATCCATCTTGCAAGTAAACGATGCCTTGGAAGAGAAAGAAGTTTGTAGGTTTGTGCCTGTTTAGACATGCTCTTACTGAAGCCTGTTTCTTCTCTCTCCCTTTTCCCCTACTTGCTGTCAGCTTTTCCTCCCTTTAAAATAGTTTTCTTTATTGGGAGACCAGCAGATGGTGTAATGGTTACGTTGCTGGACTTTGTAGTCGATTGCAGTTTGAATCCTGGAACAGGTAGCTTAAAACTCAGTGGGCACGTATGTGCTCAAAATCTCAAGAGGAGAAGGGATTGTGGCATGGCCATCCCCGCGGGGGATGCATACATACATACTTTTTTTTTTTTTTCCTTTCTTGGTCTGCTCCCAACTATGCCTATCACTCTTCCTAGATAATATTAGCAAAATCCAATTCCTCATTTCCTAATCTAACAATTTGTTTTAATGTTTACCTTTTTATAGGCTGGAATACAAATTTGGAGAATTTGGAAACTATTCTCTCTTGGTAAAGCACAGCCAAAATGGACTTGGGGAAAGTGCCTGTGACCTAGTTGTTAATGAGAATCCAGTTGATAGCAACCTTCGTAAGTATACACACTCTTCGTTTTATCGTTTAATCTGCATTTCTTTCTTTAAAAGAATTGTTTAATTTGCATTTCAAAGCCTTTAGTCTTGAGTACTGTTTTTTAAAAATATGTATTTAATTTAATTTTATTTATTCATTCATTTATTTTAATTTGATCAAAGAGAGAGAGAGAGAGAAAGCTGGCAGGTCCAGGCTTTGAACCATGGTCAGCCATGTGGGAGTGTCCAGCACCTTAACCACCACGCCACCTGCTGGTCCCGTTTTTTAAAGAGAAGCCTCCATGACACTTGAACTTGACACTTGACAGTGTAACTTGAAACTTGGATGATAGGTTATTTTTTGCATTTAGTTATGGTATGTTTATAGTATATTTTTTGTATTATTGGTGTATACTTAGAAAGCTAGGTGATGTGTTGAAAATTACAGGATACATCAACATATTCTCATCGTTGTTACTTAGTTTAATTGTGAAGCATTCACAAAAAAGTTAATGCAGTGGGAAGAAACTAGAAACAGGGCAATTGACTTGTTTTAGGATTTAAGGTGTGTTTCCTATGTATCTTTTTTTTTTAAAGAATTATTTTATTCAACTTTATTCATTCATTTATTTCATTTTTTAAATTTGATAAGAGAGGGACAGCGAGAGAGAAAGAGAGAAAGTGAAAGTGAGAGAGCAAGCCTCCAGGTCCAGGACTTGAACTGTGGTCAGCCATGTGGGAGTCCAGCATCCTTAACCACCATGCCACCTGCCAGCCCCTGTTTCCTATGTATCTTACACTGAGTGAGTGGGCCTGAGTTTAAGGAGGAATCATTCATTCTCTAATCACCCTACAGGGGAAACCGTCACCCTGAGCTTGATAGATGCTGGTTTTCAGGAGGCAGTGGTGAGTGCTATGGGTTTAATAAGCACTGTTACTAGGGAGCTATTGAAGAGTGAGATTATGTCAAGAGAATACAGGAGTCTATAGGAAAGGGCCAGTGTAAGATATTTAAGCATTAAAAAGAATAGTGGATGTAATTGTTAAAAAAATAATAAATATATAATAACCATGAGTTTGTTATGAAACTGAAGAGTGAGGCCCCTCTTCAAACCCAAGTGATAGTTTGATTGCCTTTGAAGGTAACGAGGGCACCGCGGGCCAACTGATGGCCTGGTTGTTAAGGCAGCTAGGTCCTGCTGACTATGTCATTCAAGTCCTGGAACTGGCAGCTTGAAAAACATGCTAGGTGTATGTGAGTGTGTGCCCAAAATCTTGAAAGCGGGAGAGATGGAGAAGAAAGGGTTGTGGCAGGACCATCTCTCATGCGAGTATTTTCTCACTTCCTCTCTCCCTTTCTCTGCCTCTCTCCAGTAAGTACACACACCATCTGCAAATTAAAAAATAAAACCAAGAAAATAGACCATTGAAAGGATAAGCAGTGGGAAATAAAGGAAGAAGGAAAAGAAAGAATAAACATTTATTCTGCCATTCATGTTTCAGCTGGAACTCGGGGTAACCAAGTAGTTCTCACCAGGGAGGTACATTCTTTACAGAATGCCAGCTGATGGACGTGGCAGAATGGCAGGATATTTCACAACCTCGAAAGACAGAGTAGATCCAGGCAAAGATCGAATGCGTGGGCGAGACCACAGATTAAAGGGGAACTCTGCTGGCAGCATCGGCCTTACACCAGCTGAACACGCTCCACAGTCACATGGTTGGCCACCAGAGGCACCTCTGCGGGTTACCCAGCGAGTTACCGATAATTTTGTGTGACGTTGTGGTTATATACCCAAAGGAGCTTTTTTTTTTCTTTTCCAGTTTTTGTCATAAGGTGCGTGTGCTTATCAGAGAGAGACAGAGAGGGAAAGTGAGAAATCACCCCTCGGGCTGGCAGTGCTGCGGTCCCTTCCCCTCAATTTTACTGCATGCTCAGTGTGATTTTCAAGCTGCTGGGTCCAAGACGTGAACCATGTACAGCCATGTGAGAATCCCGCATGCGAGAGTCCAGCACCTTAACCAAGCCACCTGCTGGCCCTACCTAAAGGACCATTTTTAAGATACTTTCACTTTTGAAAAATCTTTTTATAATGATTTATTTAATTTTATTTATTCATTAATTTATTTTAATTTGACCAGAGAGAAACAGAGAAAGAGAGAGAGAAAGTGAGAAAGCAAGCCATCAGGTCCGAGACTCAAACCATGGTTGGCCATGTGGGAGTTCCAGTGCCTTAGCCACTGTGCCACCTGCTGGTCCCGAAATGGTTTTAAACTTATGGAAATCTTATCCAAAAAGGAGTTCCCACATACCATTCACTTAGCTTCTCCTAAAACCCCCTAAACTATGTAAACATAGTACAGTGATCCCATATATTATTATTACTAATAAGGGAAACTTTCTTTACTTATTTATTATTATTTTACTATTTCCAGAGAGAGACACAGAGAGAGAGAGAGGGAAAGTCAAGCCTCCAGGTCCAGCACTTGAACTATGGTCAGCCATGTGGGAGCCCAGCGCCCTTAACCACCACACCACTTGCTAACCCTGATCCCATATATTATTCTTATTATTGCTGTTATAATGCCCGAAGGTGTGTGCATGCGTGTGCCAGAGAGAGAGAAAGCACTCCCCAATGAGCCCTGGTCATTCACAATCCCCTTCTCTATTCCTCCCTCCCACAGAGCTCCTGGGCACACACACGTGCACCTGGCATGTTTTTCATGCCTGTAGGGCGGGGACTTGGGGTGTGGTTGGCCATGTGGGCTCCCACACTTCACACCGTGCTTACTTAACCTCTGCGTGGGCCAGCTCCTGTACGCCACGATTGATGCCAGGAACCTAACAGGGCCTAGTACTGACTTAGACTTCCTTGACTTTCTCCCATCGTTCCTTCCAACGCCCTTTATTCTGGTCCAGGATCCAATGCCGGATCCCACACTGCATTTATTGTCAGATCTCCCTCGTCTCCTCCAGTCTAGGGCAGTTCTTCAGTCGTCTTTGTCTTTCATGACCTTGATGAGTGTTTTTTAAATTTATTTTTAGAGAGGTTTTTATTTTTAGAGAGATTTTTGCTATAGGGTGTTTGTGCTCGCCTGAGAGACAGAGAGACAGAAAGCGAGAAATCACCTCCCGGGGGGATGGCCACACACACCCCTGGAGTGAGTTTTTAAGCTGCCAGGTCCAGGACTCGAACCATGGTCGATGACGTGGGAATCCAGCAATGTAACCATTACGCCATCTGCTGGTCCCAGTTTTTTTTTTTAAATAATTATCTAACTTTAATTAATTGTTATTATTAGGTTGCTATAGGGCGTGTGTGTTTGCTAGAGAGAGAGAGAGAGAGAGAGAGAGACAGGAAAATGAGAAAGTAAGCCGTCAGATCTGGGGCTCCAATCATGGTCAGCTATGTGGGAGCTCAGTTCCTTAACCACCGTGCCACCTGCTGGCTCCGATCTTGACAAGTTTGAAGAGCGCTGGCTGCTTATTTTGTCCCTCACTCGGATTTGCTCTTGTCTTCTCAGACTAGGTAGAGGGTCTGCATTTTGGGTAGAGTACTGCAGAAGTGGGGCCATGTCCTCAGTGCATGGGATCAGGAGGCAGGCGATGCAGATGTGCCCTTTTTTGTTTGTTGGTTGGTTTTTATTTGATTTAATCACTGGACATCTTTACGTTGTCCAGCGTGGTTCCTCCCAGTGTGGAGACAGTGCATGTGAGTCACGTGCAGCTGCGTCTCTCACAAGGTCCGACCGTGTGAATCTGCATACTGCAACCTAGAGGTCAAGTGAGGTCAGGGGTTTGTTTTCAACCATTTTAGCCAAGGAAATGGTGGGCATCAGTTGGAACAAGAACCTCAGTGTCTTGATAATTCCGGGATGTGGGTGATGGCGATACGCAGACTTAGTACAGTTCTCTGTGCTTTTGTTTCATAATGAAAAGGAGTACTTTCTCCTGAAGTGTTCTCGGTTGTGTAAAGGAAACTTAGCTTAAGATAAATACGGGCTTTTCCCTCATTTGTTTCACGTTTCACGTGTAGATTACACGTAAGGATGTGACGAATTTGATGTTTATGATGACATTTTTGGCAATAACGTTTTCTCTTTTTGCAGCTGTGACCATCGCGTTCCTCATTGGTCTCGCGCTCATCATTACAATATCCTTTCTAAGGTTCTTGTTCAGGTAAGGTGTTCGAGGAGGACACAATTGGGAGTAGCACTCCTTTTTTTTTTTTTTTTATGGGGAGAGGGAAAGGGAGACAGAGATAGATACTTTTTTTTCTTTTTCTTTTTTTTTTTTTCTTTTGAGAGGTTTTTGCTGTAGGGTGCGTGCACTTGCCTGAGAGACAGAGTCAGAGACAGAAAGCAAGAAATCACCTCCCCCCCCAGAGGGCATAGCCACGCCACAGTCCCTTCTATTCCATTCTCCTCTCGGGATCTTGGGCACGTACACGCACGTACCCAGTGTAAGTTTAAGCTGCTGGGTCTAGGACTTGAACCACGGTCAACTACATGGTAGTCCGGCGACATAGCCATTACACCAACTGCTGGTCCTGAGATAGATACTTTTGACAGGGCCTTGCTGTGCTGTGATCTTGCAGCCTTGGCCTCCTGCCTAGCTAAGATGATAGGTATGCACTCAGCATCAGGTTAGCCCAGGAACCAAACCCAGGCCTCCCATGTGGCTTCCAGCCTTCCAGGTATGTTGCAGCCTCTCTGCCACCGTGACTAGGCCACAAAGGATCTTTCTGACCCGTCTTTGGCTAAACTGACGTTTGTGTATGCACCGTGTCTGACTTAGCCCTAAGCTCTAGGGATTCTGTGTAGACTGAGAAATGGCGTCCGAGTTCAGGGAAACGATAATAAAGCTTCCAGTGGTCTTTTGCCTTACATCCTTCCACGTGACTGAAAGTGAAGAAAATGCCTGAAATAATTATTTCCTAAAGAAGCTCACGTCTTAACTGTTTAACAAGTAGAAGTGGTGTAGGAGAATTGTATGGGGAGACTGCCACACCGGACTCTCTTCCCACTCTCTGGCTCTGACCCCGAGGCCACCCCGTGCCAGCGCAGGGATCGGGTGACAAAGATGGAGGATGACATGCCACCCTGCAGCCTCCGAGTGGACTCCTTTGTTAGGGCTAGCCGACTTGACGAGAGGCCTTGCCCTTCTCTGCATGCTTAACTTCAGTTCTGGTGGGAGTGAATTAATAGGCTAGAAAAGAAAAAGTAGCCTAGTGGCGAAGGAAGCCAGACCTCACACGGCTCACTGTGGTTTGAGTCCTAGTTCTGGCACCTTGAAAACACATGAGGTACAAATGCACCCCAAATCCTGACAGGGTGGAGAAATGGAGGAGAAGCAATCGCAGCATGACCACACCCCATTGGGAGATTCCTCCCATTTGTCTCTCTCCCCTCTGGTTGAGTGCACATGCCTTGTAGCAATTTTAAAAAACTACACACACACACACACACTCTTTTGAAAATATATATATGTGTGTGTGTGTGTGTGTGTGTGTGTGAGTGTGAACAGGATGAATAAGATTCCTTGAGTCGTCACATGCTCAGGAAGACTACAGATTTTAGAGGTGAGGTGTATCTACATCTAAGTTACAAGAACAGAAACCTAACCAGTCTTTAAGCTGGCCAGCTTGAGGAAACCCTGAAACTCTGGGGAGTTGATCTATCTCAGAAGCAAACTCCCTGTAGTGTGTGTATCTCAGAAATAGTTTAATTCTGTGTATGAGCAACCTACCTGTATAAGGGTAAAAGGACTGCTTGCTGCTTAGAAGCAGCTGTTTGACCCAACTACTTTTTAGAGACAAGATAGAATTCTAGCAGAGGAGTTTCATTTATTTGAAATAAGGTATTATCTTTTATATATTATATATATATTTTTTTTCTCCTTTATTCATGATAGAGTATGTGTACAGGTGAAAGAGAGAGAACGACAAAGAGCTGTGCCCCTTCCACCAGGTCTGGTCGCACCACTGTCCCCTTCTTCCAGTCCTCCAGTGTCTGCCTGGTGCATTTCAGGCTGACCTGGCCAGGGATTTGAACTGCAGTTGCCATGTGGGATAGGCTTCTCTCTTTCTTTCTTTTTTTTTTTTTTTTTAAGGGGGTTTTTCTATAGGG